TGTGAATGCTCAATTGGTTAAGATTCAAAGGGTTTTTTTGTGGGGTGGTGGAGATGGGGGGAACGACGAGAAGAGGAAGATATCGTGGGTGAAATGGGAGGATATTTGTCGTAGCAAGGTGAATGGAGGACTTGGAGTTACTGACTTACGCCGTAGAAATTGGGCTTTGTTAGGAAAATGGTGGTATAGGCTAGGGGATGGAAATGAGGGGTTATGGAAACGGGTTGTGAAAGAGAAATATTATGGAGGTGGGCAGGAGGTCAATATGACAGATGTGGAGAAGCTTCGAGTGTCAAAGATTTGGGGGGACATTCTTAGTATAGGTGGGAAATCCAATAGTTTAAAATCTATGCTGGTGAAGGGGTTTAAGTGGGAGGTAGGAGATGGAAGTAGGGTGGGTTTTTGGAGACAAAACTGGGTGGGGAATAACTCCTTAAGAGATTCATTCCCACGGCTCTTTCAATTAGCCACAAACAAGGAGGGTATGGTTCAAGAGTACGGGACTTGGGAAGGGAATAGTTGGAGATGGGAAATAGGGTGGCGAAGAAAAAGGATGGGTCGGGAGCAAGATGAGGAAAAGGAGTTGTGGAAGGTATTGGGTAATATGCAGCTTAGAAAATATGTGGGTGACTATTGGAAGTGGAGGTATGATGTGGAGGGTAGGTATATAGTGAAGAAAGCATATGACTTTTTAGCTCCTGTGGAATGCTTGTTGGACAGCCAGTTGTGTAAATTGATATGGTGCAGGTTGGTGCCTTCTAAAGTGAGTATTTTTGGGTGGAGGTTGTGCTTAGACAGACTCCCAACAAGAGGGAATTTAAAGAAACGAGGAGTGACCTTACAGGGGGATAATATGATGTGTGGACTATGCAAGAAGGAGATGGAGGAGGTAGATCATTTATTTTGTACGTGCATGGAAGCTTGGGTAGTTTGGGTTAAGTTGATTAAGTGGTGGGGTATCGAGGTGGTGATGCCGGATACAGTGAAGGGCGTGGCAGAGCTGTTCATCTATGGGATAGGCAGTTTGGTAGGTAAGGAGATGGGAGCCTGCATTTTTTTAGTCACTGCTTGGTATTTGTGGTATAGGAGAAATGTTTTGGTATTTCGGAGGGAGGAGGATATCAGGGAGCAATTGCTGGAGTTGATTCAAGTTAAGACTCACTTTTGGGTAAGAAATAAGGTGGCTGGATGTATTTTTTCGTTGGCCCAGTGGCAAAGCAACCCGATGGAGTGTGCAAGGGAGATGAAGCAGTACAAGAAATCCTTGAAGATGTTTAATCAGCAACAGAAACGACTTCAGACCTTAAGGTGAAGTGTGTTCTGTATTGATTATTCTTGTTCTTTCAGGGGGCTCTATCTTTTTGTGCACCTGCAGTGTTTTTTAGTGTGCAGGAAGCTTTTGTTTCCTTTTTGTAAAAGGACAGGAGTATCTCTTATACTCCATTAATTTATATAATATATTTTCTTTGCTGATCAAAAAAAAAAAAACACGAATATTTAGGAAATTGCATTAGTCCAGCCAGATATCCACTACTTACCTCGAGAGCTTCTCCATCTCCAGAAGACAAAAGCAAGAGAGCTGAGTAGAGCTAATCCAGGAACCGCTGGCAAACTTGCGGTGATTGGAATCCATTTTGGTTTACTTCCTTCAATGCGCAAAATTTTCCTTCAGCCCATTGTTAGGCTCATGAATAAAAAGAATGGGACCCTACTAACAACTAATTAACATGAATGTTGTTTTGATTATGAGCAATATCCTATAAGAGAAAAATGGAATGAAAATGGTATCAAGACAAGATGATGATGATGATGATGATAATCCGAAATCAATGGAAAAAAAAATTTGATGACACAGTGTGTCTCAATAGCTGTCACTCATGATCTTTGGCCTTTTCCTGCGTAAGAAATAATGCCCATCTAAAAATGACACTTATGAGGAAGAGCGGTAGAATAATTAGTTAAATTATTAATATAAAGGTACTTTTTTACTTGTATGATGAGCGTTAAAATTCTTATTCTCCCTTCCACATCTCTCTCTTATTAGGGTTTCAACTAGTTGGGTTGTCCTATAAAAAAGTGACTCTTTTTCATTACTTAATTTACTTTTACTTTCAATAGAATAGAAAAAGATTAAATTCCAAGGATAGATCTATCGATAAACAAGTATGGTTTTATAAGTCAATTTCAAGATTCAAGTCTTGAAGTTAATACTCAAGGAAATTATATATATTTTTTGAATACACTAATTAACCAATATGAGGTATGCATCCTTAAGATTATTTAGGGAGGATTAGTCCCAAGGTGTTTAAAAACTAATATGGGAACACTTGACAATAAGAAAAAAAAAAAAAAAGCAGGGAAAAGATAGAATTTTTTGTCATCAATTTCGTCATTCTTTTTAGGAGCATGGATGGTCCCAAACACAATTAATTTAGTATCTAACTTTTTAATAAGTTCGATGAATTTAGAATTAATGGACCACAGTAGATAAGATATTTTAATTTGTAGAAAGAATAATCCAATTTACAAAATTATCTAGCTAGTTTAATCATCACAAACAATTAATCGGTAAATTAGGCGCTCGAACTTACCTTTGGGGTTGATCACTAAACAAGGAGGAGGAGGGTTAAAAGAAGAGGAGGAACAATGGGTGGCGGCGGCACCGGAGCTGTAACGGCAGAGACAGTTTAAAAAGGCCGCCGATTCTTCCTTTGCCATAAAAGGAGAGAACTGTTATGGCATCTTTGTTTTATTTGGTATAATGATTAAAATTTAGTAGATAATAAGTAGCAGATGGTGGTTAAGAAATTGAATAATGGGTTGTAGATAGTAAATTTTAATTAATATAACTATTTGGTTATATAATGATTAATTAATGGTTATTATTTGATATCAAATGACTAATAAAAGGCATGTTTAAAGATAATTAATTTTTTTTATAATTTTTATTATTAAAATGATTAATTTTATAAAAAATAAATAAAAGATAAAACTATAAATTACACACTTATTTTTATTTTTAATAAAGAAAAAAATAAACATTTAATTAATTTGTCTAATTAGTAAATTCTGTTAATAAACTTAATATAAAATTTTTAATTATAAGTTAATTTAAAAAAGTAAAAATATAATAATTAATTGTTATTAAAAAAATATTGAAATTGAAACTAATTTGATAAATTGTAAACAAAGATGATGGCAAAAAATTAAAAATTAAAATGGATAATTTTGTCAATAAAATTAAAAAATTTCAATCTACTAACTGCTTTGTACAAGAAAGTATCAAATGTAGCTTTTTCAATTTGCTACTCCCTCTATCTCAATATAATTGTTCTTTTTTTACTTTTTCCTCAAATTAAAAGATTTGGGGACAAATTTGTATTTATTAAAATAAAAAGATAAATTTATACCTGAAAATAAATAATATATTGGTTTAGTGTGAAAAAATAACCTTAAAAAATTAAAAGATAAAAAACTTTTGTGATTGAATAATTAATTAAAATAAATAAATAATAATAGCATTATAAAGTAGAAGGGTACAACAATAACCTGCGTTGAGCATGAAGCATTCACATTGCAGGAGGGCAC